ATTTTGTAACAACCTTCACTCATGTGTGTAAAACAAGTGATTCACTACATGGAGTTTAAACTAAACCACTGTGGATTTTTCCTAAGCCTGGCATGCAAGCTAAAAATCTATATTTCTTAAAACTGGGTATTCACTTTTCCATCTATCTCCTTGTAGATGCAAGCTTGACACTGAGGTGTTTTTTTTTTCTTTTTTCCCCCTCTTCTTTCAGCTATGAGAATTCCTCCCTTTCAAGCTGGCTGGTCAGATCTATATTTGGCAGTGGAAAAAGAAGTATGACATGTATCATAAGCTTCAACTCAGTAGCAAAGGTTTATGCCAGAGGCAAACCTGCAGGCACAAATAAATAAATAAATAAATTCAAGAGTCCTGAAATTATATTGCTGTGTAATGTCATAGTTGCTGTGGAAACCATCTTACAACTTTTTTAAGGTCTCAAAGAAAAGCCCTTTCTTACTGCTTTCTCTGCAGTACAATATTTTACCTGGTTTAAACCACCAATGAATTAATTGAAAGTCTGAGAGAATTGAGGTTGTTCAACTTGGAGAAGACTCTGGGGAGACCTTAGAGCCCCTTCCAGTGCTTAAAGGGGGCTTACAAGAAAGATGGGGACAGAAATTTTAGTACGGCCTGCAGTAACAGGACAAGGGATAATGGTTTTAAACTGAAAGAGGGGAGAGTAAAACCAAATCTAAGGAAGATTTTTTTTATGATGAGAGTGGTGAGACACTGGAACAGGTTCTTCAGAGAGGTGGTGGGTGCCCCATTCCTGGAAACATTTAAGGTCAGTTTGGACAGGGTCACCTGACCTTGTTGAAAATATCCCTGCTCATAATAGGGGTTGGACTAGATGACCTTTAAATGTCCGTCCCTGACCAAACCATTTTTGGTTCAATGTATGGAATATAAAGAGTCTGAAACACAACACAAAGATCCTTCAAAATAGTTCTGGTTTAATGCTTTTGTTTTCAGAAAATAAAACACTTTTTCTTTCATAGTCCATGTTCAACCTTCTAGATAAAGTGATTTTGACAACAGGTGCATGTAAGTGTAGTTTTACAGCCCTTGTGTAGGTTCAGTTTTATTTCATTTGTTCAGGTTCCTGATCCTTGTTAACATAAAAAGCACTGCAATTCATTCAAATGTCACTGTTCATGTAAGGTGAGTTTTCTTGAAAGAGTAAATTAACAGAATTGTGCCTCATTGTTCAGCTGTGGACTGCTCTGTCATTCTTCTTTGAATAGTTTTAAGAAGACTGAAAAGCTGGTAAATTATAAAAGATGGCAACTAAGTTGTATGACCACAGACAGATCTCTCTATTTTTGCAAAAAGAGATAAGCTAGTATTCTAAATTAATGTGATAAATTCATAAAAATGCATATGAAAGCTGTTATATATATCCTAGTACTTACATTAAAATTGTAATGTGATATATTACACATTATTTTATGGTCGTTTACTATTGAAATAAGTACAACTACAACTAGAGTGTTTTTAATGAATTCTTAGAATACCAAAATAATTGCAGTGGAACAAAATTATTATAACAGCAAAAGGTGCTGCCTTAAAAGATCAGGAACAGAAAAAACTCCAGGCAAATTTAGCAGAGATAAGATGATAGAGTTGGTCATTAATGAAGGTCCTCTGGCATGAGGAGTACGAAAAAGGCATGGGCCCCTGTCCACAGGTTCCACTATTTATGGTCTGATCTGAGAACCACCCACCCTCAGGTCTGCCCCCTGGGCACACCTTCCCAGGAACTTAGTCAAAGGTCCTAAGACCCCTTTATTCTTCATCTTCCTCTTATTCACAGCACTTACAACCTTTGGATCTTCTCCAAGGTTTCGGGCTTGAAGGTTGCTTTGACTGTGATGGTATCTTGTTGTTCAGGCCTGGGGTGCAAATGTTCTTAAACAAGTTGTATTTGCTATAGTTCTGTCTTGAAAGGAACCTAAATAAGCCTAAAGAATTTCAAAAATTCAATATGAAATAGGGAAATAGGGTTTGGTGAGTGTTAACTACAACTACAAAATGTGACAGATTATACAGCTATATTAAAATCTACAAAAAGTTAAAAATCCTAAAAAATCGAAGGCACCAAGGAATACAGTCATTAAAACACCTCTTTCAGCTTTCTTGAAGCAACTGGAGAATATCCACACTGAATTATTTCTTCTTCTGATAGACATATCTTTATAAAAAAACAGTACTCACTACAGCGAATTGGAGTTTTATTATTCCCAGTTTTGACTAATGAGGACTACTGGAAATAGGGGTGACCTACATTTAAAAACTTCAGTTTGAGATTAACGCATTGTTTTACACACTTTTATGATATTAAGACATTAAAGATATTGTTTAAAGGGAATTTTGAATATTTTGATACAATCTTGCACAGCTTTTCATTGAAGTCTGAACTTATGCATTAAACTGAGACAATTAAAAAAAATTTAAAAAGGATTTTAGAAAAATAATTGCTGGGTTATCCTCAGAACTGCCAATTCAAATATGCAAGAATGTAAATTACCAAGATAAGCAAGATCAGAAGAAAATGTCTAAAACCAGAGCAGGTTTGGTTTATTTTGATTTTTTTTCTTCTTTTTTCAGTAAGGTTTCCTCTGTGACTGTCAAATATAGAGAATATTCTCATAGTATCCTACAGATTTCAGGTATACAAATCTCTACTGAAGAGCCATATTCATGTCATGAATCTGTCATATCATAGCGTCATTTTTTTGAATAGTCTCACAGACTTTCACCTGTGAGTGGGTAATAGGACAAAAATGGGAGTTTTAAATAAGATAATTACAAAACAGTTGTAAAAATGTTGCTTGTTGCAAAAAAGTATTTGATGGTTAAATTTAAGATGATGTAGAGCTACAAAAACAATAATTTTCACCTATTTAAGAAGGACCAGATTCATCCTGCAGTTTTACTCCTATTTCTGTATTTAGACCATAAATATTATACTGCAGTTAGTAACTTACCTCTAAAACTAAACCTAAGGGTTTTCCTGCCTTTTTTTTTTTTTTTTTATTTTGCAGAAAGCAAAGTAAATGTTGATTCAGGCAGCATTTGGTCAAGGTCCTGCTTCTTTGCAGACGTGGAACTAATTATATACCTTTCCAAAACATTATTGTCATTCTATACCACCTTACCTAATAATATTTCTGTTGCTGAGCTATTTCTGTGTTGATGACTGACAGAATGGAAAGTCAAGCATGAAATAGGGAAGCCATCCACAGCACTGGTAGGTCTCCTTGAAGTCCTTGAGCTTGTTCATATTGGTGTCTTCAAAGATTGTTTTTAGCAGTTATGAGAGGAAAATCCCTCTTATCCCTCTTTATTCATTCAAAATTGGCCCATGTCTATAGAAATCAGGGTCCTCTGAAGCACCTTTTAACAACAGACTAGGTCCAACTTTTTCAGCTAGCCATAGAATCGTAGAATTGTTTAAGTTGGAAATTGCCTCTAAACTCATTAAGTCCAGTCATTCCCCCAATACTGTCATGTTCACCACTAACCCATGTCCCCAAGTGCCACATTCACATGGCTTTTAAATCCATCCAGGGACAGGGACTCCATCACCTCCCTGGGCAGCTGTTCCAAGGATGGACAACTTTTTCAACCCTCCTTTTGTTGCTAATGTCTTTATACAAACAGTTTTTATTGTCTTTAAAGGCAATATCCAGAGTAAGTCCCTGCATTGTATTTTAAGCAGACACATGCTAAGTTGAAGTGCCCCACACGAACAGGAACCAGCAATCGTAACACTTCTACCAACTGCTTATAGAATATTTCTTGTGCTTCTCCATCCTGGCTGGGTTGTCTGTAACACATTTCCACCAGAATATCTGCCTTGCTGGCCTTTCCCCTAATCTTTACCAAAAAACACTCAACCCTACCCTCGTCATCATTAAACTCCAGGTACTAAAATACTCCCTAACATTAAGAGATACCCCACCACCACTCCTTCCTCGCCTGTCTCTTCTGAAGAGTTTATAGCCACTCACTGCAGCCAAATGTCAAAATGTTTGTTACTCAAAGGTATTATTTGCCTCTGGACAAAGCTGAACACTTGAAAAATTTTTTCTCAAAGAACAAAATATTCACCAAATAATCATTTTTCTCTTTCCCACACCAAAACTCTGTTTATCCAGCCAGAGATACTTTGCTCATTGTCTCATTTTGCACAGAGCATTTTCTTTCAGACTTTATTATTTTTTTTCTTTCATTTCTGCCATGAAAGCTTAGCACTTTTATAGGAATAAGAAAATACCAGACAAAAACCTCTGGGAAATCTTTCAAAGTGGTGTGTGGAGACTGAGACAAGCTTCATGCTGATAGACTTGCACACTGCTTTGAAATTGTCCTTCTACTTCTTACATCTGCTGTGGTTTTGGCAAGGGGCATCCACCTTAACTTTTTATTCCTTTAAATCTTTAAAAAAAACCCAGAAACCAAAAAACCCCATATATTTGTTTGCATGCTTGAACAAGCCAGAGGAAAGTGTGTAGCCTCCCGAAATCCATGTCTGCCTGTATTTCCCTTGACAATTAAAAGCACACTGGAATTCATGCTTTTTAAGTTTTTTATCTTTGCTTTCTGCAGCTTGAACTGATAGAAGCATGTATTTTTACATACAGAATGTAAAGCTTGTCACATGTAGCTCAGCTGGTATTTGGATAAACATATCTCAAGCTAAAAGTTCTCTTACTTCTTCAAAATGAACTTACTGTATGCCAGTGTGTAGGTGTGTGTGTTTGTGTGTAAGCTTACACCTATGTGTGCGATTTCAAAATTATTTCAAAATTAATATTTTGGAATGTAGATTAAACACCTTCCACTATCCCAAAGTTTGCTCCAAGCACTGTCCAATCTGGCTTTGGACATCTCCAGGGATGGGGCAGCCACGGCTTCTCTGGGCAACCTGTGCCAGGGCCTTACCACCCTCAGAGGGAGGAATCTTTTCTCTAATAACCCATCTAAAGTTTTGGTTAATGGTGCTGTGGATTGAACAGAGAGGAAGAAACCATGAGGAGTTCACTGCTGCAAATTGTTCTTCTACAAGCAGACACAGCAATAGCAAACCTGCAACAGAGGATGATGAAAAGATTGAATGAGGAAGAACTTGACTGAACGACCTGCATTTTCTACTTATAACTTCTCCAATTCGTTGTCATGGAATGAAACTCGAATTTTCATACTCTATTTACATAAAAATAATTGCTGATGGTAGAAAGTAGTGTTGATCTGTGAGCATTTAAACATTTCAAAATGTCGCTGAAAGTGCAAATCACTGTTTCCTTAACTAATGCTCATATTAGATTTATATGAATGGATAAATGGACAGTTTACATAATGTAATTTAGACTGTAAACTGCTACATAGTCTTATCTTCTGTATTTCAAGTGTTTAGAAGAAAAAAAGTTGTATCTTCAGCTGCATACATTGATTAAAAAAGATCTAGTAAAACAACTGGGTTTTACTTCATTATATTATAGCATATATTATGAGTATAAATACTCATCGTATTAAGTGTGTAGTGGTATTTGATGTACTATCTCAGGTAACTTTCTAACAGGTATTTAAATGCAATAGTTTAATTGACCATTACTAAAACCCTACTGTGAATAACTATATAGAGAGTGTAGCCTGTGTATTAAGATTTATGTAACAGGAATATAATACATCTATTTCATCAGAGATGAAGTTAGCAAAGTTCAATCTACCATCAGTATATTTGCTGGCCTGAGAGGAAAATACATCTCTTACTAACCTTGGTTGCATAGCTTTTCTCTTCTCCAATCACCCAGGCAGTGTGTGGCAGCAGGCTTTCAATTTCTGGATACGTTGGAGTAGCAATCTAAAATGTTTATTTAAAAATTTCATTAAAAGTCCAAAGGTCTAAGTGCCTTGATTGCCCTTCATTTTTAATGAAATATTAATGAAAGGAATTCAATTTCTGATTGTACTGTATGTGATTTAAAACTTGAAACAAGTCTTTAAATTAACAAAGATGTTCATCATTCATGGCAAATTCAATGGATCAAGAACCTTATTTTAATAATATTAAAACCCTTTCATGTATTTTGTTTTCTCTTATTTTATTTAAAAGTCCTTGTCCCTTCCTCACAGACTCCACAGGGTTGTCCTTTCCTCACCCTTCTCACAAACCTAACTAGGATTCAGGAATTTATAATTAACAAAGCGAGAAAGTGATGAATTCTTGTAAAACTTCCAATGTATTAAAATTTTTTGTGTTTGGAAAAATGCTGTCATGTAACTTACAGTGAGGCAAGATTCTGAAGCAAACAGTCTGAACACTCTTTCATTTAACAACTCAACCTGAGTGCAGTCAAGTTTTCTTCTGCCTGAGAGTCCAAAGTTGTGTGTTTCTGCAATGAAAGTAAGAAAACAGAGATATGGTCAAAATGATGTGTTGCTGGAGATATATAATTCTCCCCAAGAAACTCACTAGTTCATCTTATTTATTTTTTGTTGTGAAATGGATTACAATAACTTAAAAATCAACATTTTCACGTGAGAAAATGGACTAATATTCTATTTTTTCAAAGCAAGTCTCAAATTTTTAAAGTCACTGGAAGCTGTACATTTCTTCATGTTTGCACATGCATATTACATCATGTCCTTTAAGACAAAATAACTCCAGCTAAAAAAATGCAAACAAACAAACAAACACAAAAAAAAACCTCAAGGAAAAGTTGTATTGTGCTGTATGGGTCAAGAGATAGACCATGGAAAATCCTAGAAGGATTCTCAAAATAGAGACTGAAATAAGAACTGAGGCTTCAAACCCAACAGAAGTTTTTCCAGCTCAGATCCACATGTTTACATTTAAATGGAACTTGGAGCGAGAAGCAACCAAGAAATCCAGTAAAACTATGAATTTGTACTACTGAGTGATTCTTTTGGGAATAAATAAAATAATTTGAAAATTACATGACAAAATACAAATAGGCCTGCCTGTGCGTCCGTCAGTACACAGCTGACGGCAGGAAAGTCCAAATATTGCAGCTTATAACTCTGACTGGAAACAGGACAGAAAATTAGACCCACAGTTGGTCATTTTAGGCATCACTTATTCCTCCAGTGATATTTCTCCTTCCTCACTGCATCCTCAAGGTATTAACACCTTACTGAAATGTACAATTTTCCTATGCTGATGTAAATCCTCTAATCCTCGAGGACTGCAGGAAATAAAAAGACAAGAAACCCTGAATCTCAACTTTCTCTATGCTTTGTCAACATCCCCATCTCAAGTAACCCTTTTTTGTAATTTATACCACTACAGACATGCTTTGAAGAGCTCCATGGCAGGAGAAGGAGGATGGATGAGATGTTGCAACAACCATGACTTTTCTAGGCCTCTTAATACCTGTGTAAAAAAATTCAAAGCATAAATGATTTGTTATTAGTGTTTAATTAATTATTTATAGTTGTGTTCAATGCAAAAGCACCCAAGAAGATAAGAAGGGGTCAAAATATTTAGAAAGCAGAGGAACAAAAAAAAAAGGAACTGTTGAATACAGCCCTTCGAGAATGAGCTGTACATGGGTCAAGGAGAAAAGGATTCCATGCCAGATTGAAAGGTTCAGAGGGTCCCTGAATACCCAACCATTAGGAAGCAAGTGAAAAAAAACAAGAAAGTGGCAATAAGACAAGTGCTTCAGAGGAAACTGGAAAAGGAATAGTTGTGGGTTTTTTTAATTTGTCTGTCTTAAAATCCTGGCAGTTAAATGAATTTGGTAATGACTGCCATGTAACAAGGGTAAATCTGTCCCAAATCCACAGCCAACAATTAAAGCAAGTAAATTCATGGCACATGTCATATAAACTGAAATCAGTGAATAAACAGTTTTCTGCTGAAGTGTCTCACTGTGATGGTGTAGCCTCAGACTTTCTGGTCCGTACAAAGAGAAACCTAACCATCCACAGATCACTCAGTGGCAAAATGCCACTGACGAGAGTTGCCTGCAGGTAAAATCAATCCTGTGATAAACTGACAGTCAGGGAGGAGATATTATAGTAGTCTGGGGCTATTTAGGTGAGATTTTGCCAATAGTTGAGCAGCTGGACACTGGATGAACTGAACAGGAAGATGTTTAACATCTCCACAAACAGCATTACTGTAGTCAGTAGTCTGTCAGGGAAGAGACAGAGATCAAATACATCTGCATCCTTAGAAATGTGAGATGACTCTGGAAACGTTTTATGTAAGTATAAAACAAATTTAAATAATATTAACTCCTGAATACATGCTGAAATTTATATTCCCAGTACACAGTAAGAGCAATAATTATTTATCTTCTAGTAGTACAGTGTAACTTGATATAGAAACAAGAACTTGGAGACACTCAGAATTTCCATTTCTTCTCTGCTTTTTAATGCTTTTATTTTGAATATTAGATTTTTTGTATATCTCAGTGCTGTCACACATCTGACCAGTTCCCAGATGAATCAATATGAAGCTCCAGTGACAGAGAAATCAGAGTTTCGTCAGCCTATCAATGAATGTTCATCAAATGTTTGTGAATTGTCTTGTCCAGTGGCAACATGTAAATTGGAACTAGTGAATAGGCCAGAGGATGCGGAAAAGTCTCCTGCTGACATGAAATGACATCTGTTAGCTAGGTAAGAGCAGAGGCAATGCAATCAGAGTGCTGCCAGCATGGCACTTACATTCAGCTCAATCTAGCATGATATGATGATCAGTTATATCACTCGGAGGTGGTTCTTAAAGCTTTTTTCTACCCTGAAGATACATCTCCATAAAATAGGAGTTTCATATTTATTGTCTCTAAATGACTGCAGGTCAAAATTGCACATTATACAGGATTTCTCCTCCTTTCTGCCCACAGCTCCCATGTTATCTATCAAACACTAGGATCTGAAAATTAAGCTGAGATTTTTTTCATTTATTTATTTTTTTTATAGCGGGTTACTACTATTTTTAGGTAAAAGAGCCTTGGAAGGCCTTATCTAAAAAATTTTAGCTCTGCTTGCTTCTTTTTTGAAATAGGTGTTTGTCATGTGTGTATATAATTCCTGGACAGTGAGTGGGAGTGGAAATGGATTGAGAAACAGCATAATCTGTGATTTTAAACAAAACAAAACAGCTAAAGTAAACTAAACTAAAACAAAACAAAACAAAACAAAACAAAACCCTTTTCCTGCATAGCACTGTTTATTGCTATGACCATGTATCTAAAAGAAATTGACTTCAAAATTACATTTGTCATATTAAAAAGAAAAAACAACACAAAAAACCCCCCACAAAACCAAAAAAAAGCCCAACTCAGCCAAACAAAACACAAGGAGATACCCCAAAAAACAAACAAACAAAAAAAACCCCAATCCAAAACAAAACAAAAAACTAAAACATGCAGATGTGTTCTGAAATGAGATCTGAACACATGCTCTGTATTGTGCTTTACGTCCCCTTTAGAATGTGATGAAAATAGTTGAAGACATATTTTGGCCATGTGTTACTTGCCATTTCTTATGTTCTTCAGCAGATTGAAGAGGTTGGAGAGATAGTGCACAAGCAGCTAAAACCACACAGATAGAGGACATGGTTACTTTTGGAAAAGGAGAGTGAGGAGGACACACCACCACAGAACACTCCTGGCTGGAGCAGAGGGGCTGGAAAGCTGGAAAAGGCCTTTGGGGTGCTGATGACAGCAGCTGGACATGAATCCAGGTGTGCCCAGGTGGGTAAGAGGCCAATGGTCCCTGTGCTGTCCCAGCCATGGTGTGTCACAGGCCCAGGGCAGTGCCCGTCCCTGTGCTGGGCACTGCTGGGGCCACACCTTGAGTGCTGGGGGCAGTTCTGGGCCCCTCAGACAAGAGAGACATTGAGGGGCAGGAGCATGTTCAGGGAAGGGAACAGAGCTGGGGAAGGGTCTGGAGCACCAGGAGCGGCTGAGGGATCTGGGGGAAACCAGCCTGGAGAAAAGGAGGCTCAGGGGGGACCTTCCCACTCTCTGCAACTCCTTGACAGGAGGGTGGAGCCAGGGAGGGGTTGGGCTCTGCTTCCAGGGAACAAGGGACAGGACAAGGGGAAATGGTGTCAAGCTGTGCCAGGAGAGGATCAGGCTGGACATCAGGAGGAATTTCTTGCTGGAAAGGGTGGTCAGGCATTGGAAGGGGCTGCCCAGAGAGGGGTTGGAGTCCCCATCTCTGGAGGTGTCCAGTGAACAACTGGATGTGGCTCTCAGTGCTCTGGGCTGGTTGACAAGGTGGGGATCAGGCACAGGGTGAACTCCATAACCTGGGAGGTCTTTTCCTGCCTCAATGATTCTGGGATTTTGTGAGTACAATTTAAGATACAAAAATGCCCATGGATGGGGTATGTGCAAACACACTCCTGTGCATGTGCTACTGACATTCACTCAGTCCTTTCTGAGGGCTGTAGCTGATATTTATCAAAATTCCTTGCATCAAGGAGGGTAGAATGGGTTGGCATACCACACCTCTGCTTTTCTATTTTAAGATTAGGAACACTGTGATATTTTGTGGGCAACAGATCTTTTTGTGTTTCAGGACCACAGTGGGACTGAAAAAATTCCAGAAGACTTTATTCTGGCACCTGCAGAGGCTCCAAGGTCTTTATAGCACCTACAGAGACATCCTACAGCACCAAAACATTTTCTTTCTTGTATTTAAAGAATTTTTGATTCTCCTTTTTTTTTCCATGTATTTTTTCTGATAAAATATGTTTTAAAGTCTAAATCTTTCACTCTCACCAGACAAATCTTTTCCTCAAATCCCATTAAGACAAATGGAAAATTGTTTAGAAGACTAATGAGTTCAACAAATGTGCATAAAGTGTAATTGGCCTTCAGTGTCTTCAAATTGCAGGTAACTCAGTAGTTTAACACTCAGACTATTTGCAGAGTCTCTGGGACTAGCGGTTAGTAGTCAGATCTACTCTTTTGTTAAAAGTGAAAATGAATTACTAAGAGCAACAAATGAAAATATACAAGCCCCAGATACTGTGTTTGCTGTCTCTTAATAGGTAAAAATGGGCTATAAAGCTGAGGCAATTCAAACCTTACTGTAATGGAACAATTATTAGCAAAAATTTCGTACCTTTCCAGAGAATAAAATTTGCTTTTGAGGAGCATTTCAACAAAAATATGAAGTGTATTAAATAATTTAATCTAAGCGACAACTGTGGAAAAACTAGATTTTAACCAATTCAGAATAGAGGTACTTCTCTATGTTTTTTCAGCTTGTCTGATTTTAGCATGCAGAGGACAATGGGTGATGCACTGGAGGGAAAAGGGAAATTCTGTATTTAGAGAAAATAAATGTGGAAGATCTTGGGTTGAATATTATATATTGCCTAGAGAATTAAAATTTAAAATTGCTGTGGATTTTCTTTAAACTCATATATTTATGCTCGTTCTTCTATGTTGCTGCCTTTTGTTTCAAATTATGAAAAATTTAATTTTTTTGTCACTGCATCTGCTTACTGATTCAATATTTCTAGCAGCAAAGCCATACTGCAGTCTTGGAAAACAAAGAAGCCTGT